AGGTTTGAAACTGATTCCCGCGCCGCACGGTTTGAATTTCGCTGGAATAAGGGAATGTACCCCTTAGAGTACATGGCTAGTCTAGGTCGTTTCGCATTCCTCTGTATTTCTATATAAACCCTATGTATGCATGCTATTATCAATCTCAGTCATTTACATTCACTCTGACCTGAGTTCACTACTTCCGCTGCGACACTACCTGCGATCAACCCTGAACGATCCTTTTCCCTCAAATCTCACTTCAGATTGTAACACCTATCACGCAAGTAATTAATGCAAACAACATAAGCTCAGATATTATCACATGCATCAACAACTAACGCAGTCTTTATAGTGTAAATTTTTTCAAAGCTAAAAATTTGTCTGCATCGGGATTCGAACACGTAAGCATTCGGTCTAAAGAGATTCGCATGGACTAGGACATTGCGGGCTGGATTGGTTTGAAGGACTTTCGCGCGACAGTTTTAGGACGGAATGTTTTTGGGAACCACTGTACACCCTTCCGAAAGTCTCTTTCGGGCCCGTGGACAGATCTGGGACAATTTCGAGAGCCCCGAAAAAATCTTTGGGGAAGGCCAAAATGGGGGAACCGTCTTGGAACCTCAACTTTTGGGTGATGGAGCGGATCCCGCCGCCGCGCCGTTCCAAGCAGAGTATTAGCAACCAGAGATTGAATCTCGTTCACGTTGGAATCATGTCGTCCACACCGCATCGCACGCCGCTGTCGACCAGCGCCGCGACGCGGCGAGCTCACGGCGCAAACCCCGCGGCGGCGGCGGGAGTCGTCAGCATGATTGGCTCGGCGGCGGCGCGCCACTGCCGCTGAATTCGACTCGAAGAAGGACCTTGGAGATTCACCTCAGCCGGCGCGGCGCTGCGGCCGGCTGTGACTGCGCTTACTGCGGCGCCACCACTGCGGATGTCGCCATCATCAGTATCAGCTGCAGCCACACGACCGTCCCGGATACCACTCTCGACTTCCCCGCTTCCCCTTCCGCGGCGTTCTCTTCTCCATTCCCTACCAGCGCCTCTCCTTCCGCCGATGGAACTTCCGCCTCCCCTTCCGCCTCCCCTTCCGCCTCCTTGTGGCCGCACGCGGCGTTCCCAATGTCTCCGTCCGCTGACTCCATTCCGTTTCTCGCGGTTCCCCGCGGGTCTTTTGTTGAGCCTCGCCCTGAGGGCAGGGCTGCTACTGACGGTACGCTAGCAGCGGACGTGGCACTTGAGGACGCGGCGCTTGAGGACGTGGCGCTTGAGGATTGGATGAACGAAGTCGCGGCGTCAACGGTGCAAACGGCACCAAGGGTGGTGGGGCGGAACCAGCGGCAGCGGCTGATGCGGCAGTGGTTCGACGATGCTCCTCACAAGCTCGTTTCACCCGCATTCCCTCGAGTCAACCGAATCAGCCAAGTCAACCGAGTCAACCAAACAGGCCAAGTCAACTGAGTCAACGCATTGTAAGCGTTCCATGCTTTCAATGCATTCGATGCATCGAGTACAGTCGACGCAGTCAATCCAGTCAGTGCAGTCGGTGAAGTCAACGCAATCAACGCAGTCAATGCAGCAACGGCTGCCAGTGACTCTTCTGAATCAGCACCTGCTGACGCCAGCCTCGGATCCTGAACCTCGGAGCCAGCTCCGGACTCGGAATCCGAGCCTGCAGCCTCGGTTGAGCCCCGGAAAACAGACGCCTGTGGACTCGCAACCCCAGCAACAGAAGAGGGGGAGGTACAAGTGCGGGAGGTGTCAAGGCGTCAAGCCAGTGATGCAGGAGGTGCATGAGAATATTCATCGGCAGTCGGTGGAGGCGAGGAGGGCTAGATGCAGGGGACAGTGATTCAGGTGTGCTTTTTCTGCCATAGGGATTTCCCTTTCCCACCTCACTTTCCCTTCCTGAATCTCCCTGCCCTCTCTTTTCCCTCTTGTTTCCTCTTCTCCCACCCAGTTTTTTTTCTGCTCGTTAACTCATCTTTAGCGTCTATTCTCCTTCGCTTTCTGCTGTGTCTCCCGCCGCATATTTACCCAACTATGCAGAGCGTTGCTGACGTGGAGGCAGGGCGGAATGAGGTGGCATTCATGGATGAACTCAAGAGGCACGTCAGCATCATTCGGACCAAGCAGGCTGGGGCCCGCACAGGTAAGCTTCACTGTCCGTCACCTTGTGCCCCGGATTAAATGTATGAGAAAGGACTTCTGGTGTTTAATTCTTACATGCTGCTGGATCTGACACTTTCATCTTGACCTTTACTGTAAGCCTCTCACTCCTGACTGGCTCCTACCACTCTCACACTTGCGCTTGTTTCTCACTGTTGCGCGTGTTTTGTTCAATGTAAAAGTTACCAACTCACCCTGGCACTTCTTTCTTTCCCCTTCCCTCTTCCCAACCCTCCTGCCCTTCCCCCCCGCTCCATTTCCTCCAGTCTCGTTCTTCTCCCCCCCCAACCCCCTCCACTTCTCCCTCCCCCCCCCCCAGCACGTGCACGTGGTGATGGAGCTCTGTGAGGGGGGAGACCTGTTTGACCGCATTGACTCGCACGGAAGGCTCTCGGAACCTTCTGCAGCGCGCATCTTCCGATCGCTCATGCTGGCCTTGCAGCACTGCCACTCGCACGGCATCGTGCACCGCGACGTCAAACCCGAAAACGTGCTCATATCGAACACTTTTTCTAACGAGGACAACACAGGGGTTCAGCATGCGCCCAGAATTGCCTGAGAGTGTCATACTGATTGACGCCTCAGAGAGGAGAGGAAGGTCATGGCTGGAACTGGCGCAGTGACTACTAATAGTAAACGCATAAACAGCGCGAAGTCAATGAATTATTATATGGTTTTTTTCCTTTCGTTGGAAATCCCATCTCATAGAATATATTGAATGACCATGCTGATTACTAATTGTTTTTACAATATTATACCATCCTTCTCTTTCTGTATATGTTCAGATATGCTTAGCATATCGAAGCTGTTGTAACGTCTAGCGCAGTCCCCGCTTTTTGGAGCAGAATTCGATGTCTGATCGGGGCAGGCAGCAACGTCATCATCGATTGAATGCAAGATTCTCCCTGTTTGGGCCAACCTCGATAATCCCCTCCCCAGCGCCCCTCCCTCACTCGTTTCTTCTTCCTGTCCTGCCCTAATTGCTCCTCCCTCACTCATCGCTGCCCTAATTTTCTCCAACCACATCACACGAGATGAGACCTCGCTGTGTTTGCAGTATGCGCTACACCCCAGCTCCCATTTGCTCTCTATTTCCTTCAAGCAAGCAGCAGCATTGCATTGCACACGGAGGAGTTGCGTTGCGTCCTTCGATAGATTCTCGAATAAGCGCACTTGTGTACAGTGCGTGGCAACACGAGTGCCCAAGAAAAAAATAGTTTCTACGTGTTTGGAACCGTCCAAATAATCAGTCACTGCGATAAACGCTACAGTACCGTTCAGTGGAACAGCTCGCACTTGTTTCCCCATGGCCTTCTCGTTTCGAGAAATGCTTCGTAGTGTCCTCACCTCATCTGCGTTAGCCTCGCGAAGCATTTTCTCACACATAGCACCACGCTTTAGAGTACGTACACTTCTAGCCCTCGCAGCAGATTGTACTTAGCAGCGCAGCAGCACTTAGTAGCCACGCTCGTTCTTTACTGCCACTAGTAAGCTCGCATAAGCTTGCTCTGCGTTGTAGCGAGTGCTTCCGCCGGCGAGATGGGTGAGAACGAGGGTGTAATACCACACAAGCGGTAGAGCAGTCCTTTGCAGCGCTGGCTCTTAGAGCACTGTTTTGTCGTCCTGTCGTGACCGTTACAAGCCAGCGACTGCAATATGCTACAGTAGCCATAGACTTACCAAGTTCGTCCGCTTTCTCGCCTAAATCTGATCCGATGCGATTACGCGAGTAGCTGTCACGATAAGTCGTTAAAGGCGGTGTGACGTGTCGTGTCGTTTTGTGTCGTGTCATGACGTGTCGTGTCTTGGCCTCAGGCCAGGAGTGAGGGCGCGGAGGGTGCAAACAGATGGGCCACTTCGCCCGATCTGTGCTCCGCCCATCGGTGCTCCGCTCCGCCGATCGGTGCTCCGCCGATGGCTGACAGCGCAATGCGGAGGGAAAGTCCGACTCCTGCGAGCCGCGCGTCATGCTTCCCCCCTTCCCCCCTCCGACATTTTGCACTCTCCATTTCTTCCCCGCCTTTTGCGCGATAGTTCCGAACTATCTCTCATCTCTCGTCCGTCCATCGCGTGACGTGTCGCTCATCTCATCGGGCCCTCCCCTCCCTCCCCCTCCCCTCACCTCCCCTCCCCTCCTCCCCTCCCCTCCCTTCCCCTCCCCTCCCCTCCCCTCCCCTCCCCTCTCTCCCTTCCTCCTCTCTGACTCTGCTTGCATGGCGCTCTGTTTGTAGTCGCGCTCGCGGCCCGCATCGAGATCGAGGTGGCGAGGGGTGGGCGGGTGGACGCGGACGAGTTTTGACGCGCCACTTGAGGTGGATCGATGAATGGAGGTGCGAGGAAGGTGAGGAGAGTGTAGACAAGGAGGAGAAACATTCCTCCAGCTGAAGGGGAGATGCCGCGGAAAGGGTTCGTATGGACACGGCCATGCAGTGAGTGCCCGCAGCAGTAAGTAACCAATGAGGGCTCGACTAAGTCCCACTCCGACGACCAATCCTGACGCAGCGTCATGATGACTCAGCGTCGTAAGGTAACCGTCAGTTACCGATGGGGGGAGGGGAGGGGCGGGGATGATGACTCAGCGTCGTAAGGTAACCGTCAGTTACCGCGGGGAGGGGAGGGGGAGGGGAGCACTACCAGTAGCAGCAGCGATCGCGTGGAATCATGTCGCCGCATCCCACGCCGCCGCCCAGCACCGCCGCGACGCGGCGACTCGCTCGCGCGAACCCCAGCCCCAGCGGAGGCGGCGGGAGCCGTCATTGGCTGGGCGCTCGCGACAGCGCGCCACTGAATTCGAGAAGGTCCGTCGAAATTCAGCTCGGCGCTGCTGTCGCCGGCTGTGACGGCGCTTACTGCGGCGCCACCACCTCATTTGAGTCGGATGTCTCCGTCACATCCGCTACTACCACGGATGGCGCCATGGCGAGCTGCAGCAGCCCCACGGCCACTCTCGACTTCCCCGCCTCCCCTTCCGCGTTCTCTTCCGCCTTCACTTCAGCGGAAGAAGCTTCCGCCTCCCCTTTCGCCGCCTCCCCTTCCGCCTCCCCTTCAGCCTCCGCGTGGCCGCACGCGTTCCCGATCACCCCTTTCGCCGACTTAATTCCGTGGCCGTCCAATTCCGCGCGATGCAGCGCAATCAACAGAGATTCGTTTCCCACGGCGGCTCCCTGCAGCTCCGTCGTTGAGGGAGGAGCGGGTATCTCCGCAGCCGACGTGGCGCTTGAGGATTGGTTGAATGAAGCAGCGGCGTCGATGGTTGAAACGGCGGCGCCAGTGTTTGAAACGTGCCGGGCGCCAATGGTGTTGGGACGGAAACAGCAGCGGCAGCTGATGCGGCAGTGGTTCCACGATGCTCCTCTTGGGCTCATTCCTTGAAGTCAACCGAACCAGCAAAGTAAACACAGTCGATGATGGAGTGAGTGCAGTCAACGCGGTGAAGGCAGTCAACGCGATGAAGGCAGTCAAACGCAGTCAATGAGACAACAACTACTATCCTGAATCAGCACCTGCTGACGCCAGCCTCAGATTCCGAGCCTGGAAATCAGCTCCCCACTCAGAATCCGAGCCTGCAGCCTCGGATGAGCCCCGGAAATCAAACACCTGTGAACTTGCAACCCTAGCCACAGAGGATCGGAATGTACAAGTGGGGGTGGTGTTGGGGCGGCCAGTGGAGGACATTCGGCAGCAGTGGCTTCTGCTCAAGAAGGAGATCGGCAGGGGGCAGTACGGCGTGATACGACGATGCGTGCACCGCTGCACCGGGGAGATAATCGCTGCCTGCAAGAGCATCCGGAAGGGCGCCATGTGGGGGCAGCAGAATGCATGGCTCCTGAGGTGTTTTCAGGGGCGTATGGTGCTGAGTGTGATGCATGGAGCGCTGGTGCCACTCTCTTCATGATGCTCTACGACCAGACGCCCTTTCTGCCTGATAGGCGCAGCAACAGCAGCAGCAGAAGAGGAAGAAAGAACAGCAGAAAATGCAGCAGGAGCAGGAGCAGTGGAGATGGGGAAGAAGCAGCTGATAACTTGATGTGGCAATGAAGATGGGAGGGTTCAGCCACTGCCGGAGGTGGCAGGAGCTGTCGTCACCAGCCAAGCATCTCATCATTCTCGTGCCCTCTGCTGACCCCACCACCCGAATGATTGTCAATAGCTGGACTAGATTCAAAACAACCCCCTAATGCTTAAAGCCTGTATGCAAAATAGTGACCCCCCCTTCTAGTTGGGTCCACTAGAAAGCTCATGAAAATTTTCAGAAAGTTTGGTGTTTTTTTCTGAACAGGGCAAGTCCCCAAGTAGTAACAAGACCGATTTGAAGTTGTTTCCGACTTCTGATACGATCAGTCGCAACATGCACAGAATTGTCGCAAGCTTACTATGACATTTCAACTTCTCCCACCCATCCAAATCCGCATCGAGCACAACACATCACAAATTTCACAACGGAACCTGCCACCACACACGCAGCATACACACAATGTTGAGCTAACTAACAACAGAGAGTGATGCAAGTAGCAAACAGAAGAGCAACAAGGTGACTCGTGTCAAACTATATGTACTGCATATTGTCTAGGCTGTAGTGGGGTAGCCCATATGGGGTACAACCCAATTAGGGTTTACTACTTGTACTCCTGCATCCTGTTAGTTCATCCATTCCTGCTGCTAGATTCTAACATGGTTTCAGAGCACTAAGGTCCGTAGGACCGTTTTTTTTTTTTTTCGGGCCCACCTACCGCTGCGGTTACCGCGCTACCCCACGTACCTGCCTGCCTTGCCTTGCCTTGTGACGTGCTGCACTACGCGCGCCGTCCAGCAGCCCTAGCGCTGCCTCCTGCTGCCCTAGGCCAGCGCGCTGCTTCTAGAGGCCCGTAAGGCCCGCGCGCCGCCCCTACACGCCCTTCAGGCCCGCGAACAGCCCCTGCAGACCGTTAGGCCCCTTGCTGCCGCGCGCTGCCCGCACCGAGCCGCGCGCAGCCCGCTGCAGCCGCGCGCAGCCCGCACCGAACTCACGCAGCCCGCTGCAGCCGCGCGCAGCCCGCACCGAGCCGCGCGCAGCCCGCTGCAGCCGCGCGCAGCCCGCACCGAGCCGCGCGCAGCCCGCTGCTGCCGCGCGCAGCCCGCGCCGAGCCCACGCAGCCCGCGTCGAGCCGCGCGCGGCCTGCTACGGCCTCGCGAGGCCCGCGCGCGGCCCGCAGCAGCCCGCGCCGAGCCGCGCGCGGCCTGCTACTGCCTCGCGCGGCCCGCGCGCGGCCCGCAGCAGCCCGCGCCGAGCCGCGCGCGGCCCGCTACTATAGCGCGGCCGCGCGCGGCCTGTAGCAGCCCAGCGCGCTGTCAGCGCAGCCCGCGCCGAGCCGCGCGCGGCCCTCTGCCTCGGCCCCGACCTGCCGCTGATGCGGCCCTGCCCTGCAGCTGCCACGGCCCCGACCTGCCGCTGATGCGGCCCCGCCCTACAGCTGCCTCGACCCCGACCTGCCGCTGACGCGGCCCCACCCTGCGACTGCCGCTGAAGCGGTCCCGCCCTGCAGCTGCCGCGGCCCTACTCTGCAGCCGTTGTTGCGGCCCCGACGTCGCCACTATTGTGCGCCTACTCGGCCGCCGCCCGTCGAGCGCCGACCCTGCTCGCCCGGCGAGCGCCTGCTCTTCCAGCCTTTGGTGAGCACCTGCCTGCCTGCCTGCAGGCCTGCCTGTCTGCCTGCCTGCCTGCCTGCCTGCCGGCCTGCCTGTCTGCCTGCCTGCCTGTCTGCCTGCCTGCCTGCCTGCCTGCCGGCCTGCCTGCCTGCCTGCTTGCCTGCCTGCCTGTCTGCCTGCCGGCCTGCCTGCCTGCCTGCCTGCCTGCCTGCCGGCCTGTCTGCCTGCCTGCCTGCCGGCTTGTCTGCCTGCCTGCCTGCCTGCCTGTCGGCCTGCCTGCCTGCCTGCTTGCCTGCCTGCCTGTCGCGCCTGCCCTGCCCGCGCTACTGCTACTACTCCTGCTATTAGCAGGTGGCCAGATGCAGCTCCAGCGTCGTTCCTGCGTGTCTCTCACGCCCCAGCAGCTTGATGAGTGGTATAGGGTTTGGGGCTGTCGAGGTGGCCGTCGTAGCAGTCGCCCTGGAGCTGGTCAGTTGGGGGCGTCTGGCAGTGGCCAGCTGCAGCTGCAGGGGCGTCCTCGCGAGACACTTACGCCCCGGCAGCTCCAGGAGTGGTACACTCAGTGTAGCAGGTCTACGCGTACCGTTCGCTGCCCGTACGTCATTCGCACAGGTGTTAGGACTGGTCAGCCTTGCGGGACGCTTGGTCACACACAGTCCCGCTGCTTCGCCCGTCTGAGCGACGCCTGGCGTACCGTGTTTGGAGACGAGGCTGAGCTCCCTGCCTGGCCGGAGCTGCTTGGACAGAGGGTAGATATCTTTGCACTTGACTATGATGCTATTCTCACTGCCATGTATGCATTGCCTACTAGTGTCGACCGTGCCTGTTACCTGTGCGTCCCGCCTGACCCTGGTATAGCGCCTGCTGCTCTCGGTACTGGTGAGGCTGCTGCTCTAGGTGCTCGTGCGTCTCCTGCTCTAGGTGCTGGTGAGACTGCTGCTCTAGGTGCTGGTGAGTTTGCTCTTTCTGGTACTGCGCCTGCTGCGGTCTTGCACACCTTCACCCTTGACTCAGGAGCTTCTCGCTCTTTCTTTCGCGACTGCACCACACTCACGCCGCTCAGTCGGCCAGTTCCGGTCTCCCTGGCGGACCCCTCTGGGGGTCCAGTCCTTGCCCACTACTCCACGGTTCTGCCGTGTCCGGCCGTCCCGTCTGGCTTCCTGTCAGGTCTTTACCTCCCCTCGTTCTCTACGAACTTGGTGAGTGGAGCTGACCTCCAGGATCACGGGGTTGACCAGTTCACTCCTGCGAGTCAGCGAGTGACTCACTGCACGTGTGCTAGGACGGGCCGGCACTTGGCCACGTTCACCCGTGCACCTGGCTCGAGTCTGTACACACTGACCACTGAGTCCCCTCAGGTAGCTGCGTCTGCGTCTACGTCTGGTCAGCTGGCGGCCCCCTGCGAGTGTCGCGCTTTGTCGCACGACACTCTCCTGTGGCACCACCGCCTTGGTCACCCCTCCTTGCCTCGCCTGCGTAGCATGCACTCTCGCTCCCTGGTCTCTGGTCTTCCCAGGTCTCTGCCTGCCCTCCCTCCCTCGCCTGCGCCGCCCTGCATTCCTTGCGTCGAGGGGCGGCAGCGCGCCGCTCCTCACTCCTCCTCGTTTCCTCCCACAGAGGCTCCACTGCAGACGCTCCACCTGGACGTGTGGGGCCCAGCCCGCGTCCAGGGACAGGGCCGCGAGCGGTACTTCCTGCTGGTCGTCGACGACTACACGCGTTACACCACGGTCTTCCCCTTGCAGAGCAAGGGGGACGTCCCTGATGTTTTGATCCCTTGGATCCGCACTGTTCGTCTCCAGCTCCGCGAGCGATTCCGGCGGGACTTTCCTGTCTTGCGTCTGCACTCTGACAGAGGTGGTGAGTTCTCCTCTGACCTCTTGGCAGCCTACTGTGCGGAGCACGGCATCACCCAGTCGTTCACGCTTCCGGCCTCTCCACAGCAGAATGGGGTTGCTGAGCGCCGCATTGGCTTAGTCATGGAGGTCGCTCGTACCTCCATGATCCATGCGGCTGCCCCCCATTTCCTGTGGCCGTTTGCGGTCCGGTACGCTGCGCATCAGCTCAACCTCTGGCCCCGTGTCTCCTTGCTGGAGACCTCGCCCACACTGCTGTGGACGGGGAAGGTTGGCGATGCGTCGCGTTTCCGGGTCTGGGGTGCTCGTGCCTTTGTCCGCGATACCACTGCGGACAAGCTCTCCGCCCGCGCTGTTCCCTGTGTCTTCCTTGGCTTTGTCCCTGACGCGCCTGGTTGGCAGTTTTACCACCCCACCTCGCGCCGTGTCTTTGCGTCTCAGGACGTCACGTTCGACGAGTCGGTTCCCTTTTACCGTCTCTTCCCCTACCGCACTGCCCCGCTCCCCCCCCCCCGCCGCTCTTCCTCGCTCCAGGTGCTCCCCAGGTAGACCCCCTCCCCGCTCCAGGTCCTGCTCCTTCAGGTGTTTCTCAGGTAGACCCTCCTCCCTTGACTGCGCCGGTTGAGGTCACTGGTGACTCAGGTCCTACTGAGGGTGGTCCTGCTCGGGGTGCTACTTCTGGGGGTGCTGAGCCTGGGGGTGCGGAGCCTGGGGGTGCTGAGCCTGCGGGTGCGGAGCTTGAGGGTGTGGAGCTTGGTGGTGCTGAGCCTGAGTGTGAGGGGTCTGGGGGTGCTGAGCTTGGCGGTACTGACGCTGGAGGTTCTGGAGCTACTGAGGGTGCTGGCGCTGGAGGTTCGGGAGCTGCTGGAGGGCCTAGTACTGGT